CTGATAGGGATTGCACTGAATATGTAGATTGCTTTGGGTAGTATTGACATTTTAACAATATTTGTTCTTCCTATCCAGGAGCATGGAATATTTTTCCATTTTTTTTGTGTGTCTTCTTCAGTTTCTTTCATAAGCTTCCTATAGTTTTCAGCATATAGGTTTTTCACCTCTTTGGTTAGATTTAGTCCTAGATATTTTATGGTTTTTGGTGCAATTGTAAATGGGACCAATTCCTTGATTTCTCTTTCTGTTGCTTCATTGTTGGTGTATAGGAATGCAACCGATTTCTGTACATTGAATTTATGTCCTGCAATTTTGCTGAATTCATGAATCATTCTAGCAGTTTTTTGGTGGGATCTTTAGGGTTTTCCATATAGAGTATTGTGTCATCTGCGATGAGTGAAAGTTTTACCTCCTCCTGGCTGATTTGGATGCCTTTTATTTCTTTGTGTTGTCTGATTGCAGAGGCTAAGACTTCCAATACTATGTTGAATAACAGTGGCAAGAGTGGACATCCCTGTCTTGTTCCTGACCTTAGGGGGAAAGCTCTCAGTTTTTCCCCATTGAGGATGATACTAGCGTTTGGTCATTCATATATGGCTTTTATGATCTCCAGGTATGATCCTTCTATCCCTACTTTCTTGAGGGTTTTTATCAAGAAACGATGCTGTATTTTGTCAAATGCTTTCTCTGCATCTATTGAGAGGATCATTGTGTTCTTGTCCTTTCTTTATTGATGTGATGAATCACACTGATTGTTTTGTGGATATTGAACCAGCCCTGCATCCCAGGTATAAATCCCACTTGGTCATGGTGCATACTTTTTAAAATGTATTGTTGGATCTGGTTGGCTAATATCTTGTTGAGGATTTTTGCATCCATGTTCATCAGGGAAATTGGTCTGTAGTTCTCCTTTTTAGTGGGGTCTCTGTCTGGTTTTGGAATCAAGGTAATGTTGGCTTCATAGAAAGAGTTTGGAAGTTTTCCTTCCATTTCTACTTTTTGGAACACCTTCAAGAGAATAGGTGTTAACTCTTCCTTAAATGTTTGGTAGAATTCCCCTTGAAAGCCATCTGGCCCTGGACTCTTGTTTTGGGGAGATTTTTGATTATTAATTCGATTTCCTTACTGGTTATGGGTCTGTTCAAATTTTCTATTTCTTCCTGTTTCAGTTTTGGTAGTGTATATGTTTGTAGGAATTTGTCCATTTCTTCCAGACTGCCCATCTTATTGGCGTATAATTGCTCTAATATTCTCTTATTATTGTTTTTATTTCTGCTGCGTTGGTTGTGATCTCTCCTCTTTAGTTCTTGATTCTATTTACTTGGGTCCTTTCCTTTTTCTTTTTGATCAAACTGGCTAATGGTTTACCAATTTTGTTAATTCTTTCAAAGAACCAGCTTCTGGTTTCATTGATCTGTTCTACTGTGTTTTTGGTTTTGATAGCATTAATTTCTGCTCTGATCTTTATTATTTCCTGTCTGCTGCTGGTTTTGGGTGTTCTTTGCTGTTCATTTTCCAGCTCTTTAAGGTGTAAGGTTAGGTTGTGTATCTGAGACCTTTCTTCCTTCTTTAGGAAGGTGTGGATTGCTATATAGTTTCCTCTTATGACTGCCTTTCCTGCATCCCAGAGGTTTTGAAAACTTGTGCCAGTTTTTTGTGGTTTGCTAACGATGTTAGTCTGTGTGTAATCAGACTAACAAAAATTACTACAGTAATCAGACAACAAAAATGAATAAAAGGCATCCAAATCGGCAAGGAGGAAGTCAAACTTTCACTCTTTGAAGATGATATGATACTCTTTGTATAAACCCAAAAGACACCATCAAAACATTGCTAGAACTGATACATGAATTCAACAAAGTTTTAGGACATAAAATCAATGTACATAAATCTGTTTCATTTCTATACACCAATCATTAAGCATTAGAAAAAGAAATCAAGGAACTGATCCAATTCATAATTGTACCAGAAACCATGAGATACTTAGGAATAAAACTAACCAAAGAGGTAAAAGATCTGTACTCTGAAAACTATAGAACACTTATGAAAGAAAATATTCTATGCTCATGGATTGGACGAACAAACATTGTTAAAATGTCTATACAATCCAAAGCAATCTACACATTTAAGGCAATCTCTGTTAAAATACCAACAGCATTTTTCACAGTGCTAGAACAAACAGTTCTAAAATTTGTATGGAACCACAAAAGATCCTGAATAGCCAAAGTAATCCTGATAAAGAAAAGCAAAGCTGGAGGCATCATGATTCCAGACTTCAAGCTATATTACAAAGCTGTAGCCATCAAGACAATATGGTACCAGCACAAAAAAAAGACACATACATCAGTGGAACAGAATAGAAAACCCAGAAATGGATCTACAACTATATGGCCAACTAATCTTTGACAAAACAGGAAAGAATATCCAATGGAAAAAAGACAGTGTCTTCAACAAATGGTGTTGGGAAAACTGGACAGCAACATACAGAATGGACCACTTTCTTACACTACACACACACAAAAATTTGTGAAATGAATGAAAGACCTAAATATGAGACAGGAAACCACCAAAATCCTAGAGAAGAAATAGGCGGCAACTCTTTGACCGTGGTTGCAGCAACTTCATGCTAGAGATGTCACTGAAGGCAAGGGAAACAACAGCAAAAATGAACTATTGGGACTTCATCAAGATAAAAATATTCTGCACAGCGAAGGAAACAACAAAAATAATAGGCAGCCTAGAGAATGGGAGAAGATATTTGCAAATGAAATATCTGATAAAGTCTTAGTATCCAAAATCTATAAAGAACTTATCAAACTCAGCACCCAAAAACAAAGAATCCAGTGAAGAAATGGGCAGAAGACATGAACAGACATTTTTCCAAAAGAAGACATTCAGATGGCTAACAGATACATGAAAAGCTTCTCAATATCACTCATGATCAGGGAAATACAAATCGAAACCACAATGAGATACTACTTCACACCTGTCAGAATGGCTACAATTAACAACTCGGGAAAAAACAGATGTTGGCAAGGATGTGGAGAAAGGGGAACCCTCATGCACTGCTGGTGGGAATGGAAACTGGTGCAGCCACTCGGGAAAACAGTATGGAGGTTCCTCAAAAAGTTAAAAATAGAACTACCCTCCATCCCATCCCAGCAATTGCACCCAAAGGATAAAAAAACAAACACACAAAAATACTGATTCAAAGGGGCACATGCACCCCAATGTTTTCAGCAGCATTATCAATAATAGCCACACTATAGAAAGAGCCCAAGTGTCCATCAACTGGTGAATGGATAAAGCAGATGTGGTATACATACACAATGGAATATTACTCAGCCATCAAAAAGAATGAAATCTTGCCATTTGCAACATCGTGGATAGAGCTAGAGTGTATTATGCTAAGTGAAATAAGTCAGTTAGAGAAAGACAAATACCATATGATTTCACTCATATGTGGAATTTAAGAAACATAACAGATGAACACAGGGAAGGGAAAGAGAGAGAGAGAGAGAGAGAGAGAGAGAGAGAAGGAAACCACAAGAGACTCTTGATGATAGAGAACAAACTGAGGGTTGATGGAGGGAGGTGAGTGGGGGATGGGCTAAATGGGTGTAGGTAGTTAGGAGGGTACTTGTGATGAACACTGGGTGTTATATGTAAGTGATGAATTGCTAAATTCTACACTGGAAACCAAGCTTACCAAGTTAATTTTAGTTAACTAGAATTTAAATAAAAATGTGAAATTAAAAAAATGTACAGTATATGTAATACATTTAGGGATGCCTCCCCCCATTTTAACATTTTTTTTTTCCAAGTAACCAGTGATGGCTGGTTTCACTGCCCTGGACAAATAACTTATGATGAGCTTGTTCTGAGCTATGCCCCTACTGAGAAGTTTCATGGTGTGTATATTTTTTATTGTGTAAAATGCAAACACCATAAATTTTTACCAATGTAACCATTTTTAAAGTGTACCGTTCAGTGGCATTAAGCACATTCAGGATGTTGTATCGCCATCACCACTCCCCAGGTCCAGAACTTTTTCAGCACCTTGAGAGAAACCCCTAACCCTTAGCAGTCACTTCCCCTCTCCCACCCCCTTGCCACCTCCGATCTACTTTTGGATTTACCTGTTCTGAGCATTTCCTATCACTGGTATCAAGGGCTATTTGCCCTTTGGTACTTCACTTCTACCACGGCATTTTATGTATTTTAAAACGACATGGAATTAGAATTGATATTTTGAGAGGTTTTGGAAATTTCTCACAGACCCGCCTCCAGGAGCTGGTTCCCTTGCGCCAGTGGGGGTGGGGGGGGGTGGGGGTGGGGGTGGAAGGAGGGTCTCTGCGTCCCTGGGGATGTGCTTTGAGGGCGGGTTGTCGCCAGGCCCTCGCTGCCAGGTGTGGTCCAGCTCCGGGGCCCCGCCCCAGCCGCTCCGGGACGCGCGCAGACCCTGGGGTATCTGGCCCAAGGACGCTGCCCAAGGAGTGTCCTCTCCACAGGCTTGTGATTTATTGTCCTCAGGAACGTCTGCCCAGCTCCAGGGGCCACACAGATCTCTCCCGCCAGGAACGTGGAAGGGACCCTGCCGCGTCGGGACCGTGCTCAGGGTAAATGGGGGTGAAGTGTGGAAGTCACCCATCCACGCAAGGTCTCTCCCTTCCAACCTCCCGCCGTGACTCCGGACCCCTTCCCTTGCCGGCGTGCGCGCCCTGGTCCCGGGATTGTGGACCCGGGAGACCCTTTCCCGGGCGCGCCCTGGTCCGGGAGACCCCGCGCGCCCTTCCCGAAGAGCTCGTTCAGTCAGCGCCCTCCGCCCCCAGACCTGAGCAAGACCCCCAGAGACACTTCTGGGGTGGGACTGGGGGATCTTGACGTCGCATTCCACCCTCCCCAGGCCGGTACTCTCGGCGTCGGATCCCGCGGAGCTCCGGGTGCGGTTGGCATGGGACCCACACCCGCCGCCCGCGCCCCCTGTGCCCTAGTACCTCCTCCGCGCCGGCTTTTTCCTCTTCTTCCCCGCGTACCTGCCCCCGATGGACAGCATGGTGCCCGCCGGCGGCCGCACAAAGGGGCGCGGACCCGGGGAGTCGCCGCCCAGCGCCAGGGAAGAGGCGCCCCCGCCCGGAAGGCTGCCTGCTGGGTGCGTCCCGACCCGTTTCCAGGACTGGAGCGCGCGCCCCGGGGGTCGGGGGCGAGGGCTGTCCGCCTCCCGGTACGAGGGCCCGCGGCGCGCGATTGGCCGGTTTCCCTCTAGGGGCCCTCAGCGCAGACAAACGCGGGCTTCCTCGTCTGCAGGTGCGTATGGCACTCGCCAGTGGCAAGTCCGCGACACCAGCCGCAGGGAGAGCGCTCTCGTCTGCGAACGAGCCCCCGGCACGAGTCGGGAGAGGGCCTAGTCCCCACGCGCTGCGCCTCCGCTCTGCAGGTCTTCCGCTCGAGAAAGCAGGACCCCCTCTCGAGAAAGCAGGACCCCCGACGGGCTCCCTAGATGCGCGGTTGGGCGCCAGGGAACGAGCTCCCTGGGAGGCGGTTCCCCAAGGAGAGACGTGTCGCGGGGGCGCGAAAGACTCGGAACTGAACCAGGAGCCCCTTTGAACCTGTGGTCGCTGCGGACAGAGGAACCCTCCCGGCCGGGCCGCCCCGACGCTCATGCCGCGGCCAGAGGAGCCTGCCCAGGAAGGTTTATTCCAGAACAGCAGTGGCTACCGGCTGACATCCAACCTCTGCATAAGTCTGTGCCCAGGGGCCATTACACTTCATTCTACCGGCTGCGTGTGCGTGTGTGCGTGTGTGTGTGAGTGTGTGTGTGATATGATTGCGTTGTTTTTGTGGGCCAGGTATTAAGTAAGTAATGGAAATGCCTCCCAGCGTTCCCACATGCAGGGGTGACAGGTAACAGGTGACAGGTGAGGTGTGGCTATCCCAGGGGGAGCTTCCTTGCCTTCCTTTAGGTCATTACCGGGACCTCAGGACTTCAAACCACTCACTTCGGCATGGGGATGATGAACAAGAAGTGCTTTTGTTTTCTTTCTGTGTCCATAAAATGGCAACTAATCCAGGACACTTAAAAAAAAAAAAAACCCAGTAATTGGGGCGCCTGGGTGGCTCAGTCGGTTATGCGGCCGACTTCAGCTCAGGTCATGATTTCGCGGTCGGTGAGTTCGAGCCCAGCGTGGGGCTCTGCTGACAGCTCAGAGCCTGTAGCCTGTTTCAGATTCCGTATCTCCCTCTCTCTGACCCTCCCACGTTCATGCTCTCTCTCTCTCTCTGTCTCAAAAATAAATAAACATTAAAAAAATTAAAAAAAAAACAGTAATAAAACACATTAGTGACTCTGGATTCTTCAGAAAGCATAATGAGAATCTAAGTATTTTCCTCTCAGCATCAGATTCCTACTTTGAATTTTATGAAGTTGATTAGAGTAGTGGAGGCAGAAACACCGAGCTCCAGTCTTGAGAGCACCATGCAGCCAGCCTGTTGCAGACTTCAAAACAGCACTCAAGTTTTCCAAAACCACCTCAGCAAACTCTTAACTGCAGTGGGAGGCATTTGTGCAGGGGCTGGAGGAGATGAAGGTTGGCAGGAAAGGGGTCTCAGTCTCCTCAGGACCAGCCTTGCCCGTGCAGTCCCTCCACAGCCATAGCTGAAGACCCCCAAATAAATAAAGTCCTTCTTCCCTCTCCTCCCAGGTGAGAGGAAAGGCCAGTCCCAACAAAGTCTGGAAAGGTCCAGAGATCTGGCTGCAGGTCCAGAGATCAGCACATGGAACCCTCTTTACTTCTAATGTACGGGGTGCTGAAAAAGTAGTCTCTAAGTCCTTTACAATCTTTCCTCAGAAAAGACTTTTAAAACTTCTGCTTCCTGATTCAGTGGAATCTTCATTCTTAGAAACCACTTGAGTTCAGATGCTCTTGCCTAATTTCCCTGTCTGGTGTTTCTTGAAAACAGATGACCAGATAATGTATCAAACCAGGCCCCTTTCTTTAGACTTTATAAGAAGGAAAACTTAGTAATATTAATTAGATAAGAGACGTTGGTAGGTTTCCTAAAAGAACCAGGATGTGTGTTTCATTTTATGATTGAATTATGCTGTGTTCATCACTCAGCAAGGGCACTGGGTCTTGGGGCCTAGGACTCTTGCTGGAGGAGCCAATGTTGTTAGATATTAGATACCAGAATAGTGTTCTTAGGTAAATAGTGTTGGCTATTTATCAAGACTGCTGGTGAGGCAGTACAAGGCCAACCCATTTGGTTTCAGTCCTGCTGATTTGACAGCAGAAAGCTGTCAAGGGGAAAAGCATCCTGAGATTTAAGAGATGGACTCTGCCTGGGGCCAGGGTACCAGGGCCACTTTACAATCCAGCAATTGCCTACTTTCTTGAATTGCAAAAGTTGAATTCTTTGTACTAAGGCAGAGTTAGAGCGGGGACTGACAATCTGTGGTATTCTGGGAAATGGGATGTGATAGCCTGGGGGATGGGAAGGATCCTGGACCCTCCTAAACCACTCTTGCTGTGCCTGCTCCTGACAAAGGTTCTCACCTGCCTCTGTACCTCCGCATCTGCCATACATCTGGATGTGGTTGTGGTCTGAGGCCTGAGCAGGGTTCTGGACTGGGTTGGGGCTGTCTGGCTACCTCAGTTCTTTGTTCCCACTGCTTGGAGGCAGAGAGGAGGCTGGATCAGAAGCCACTGACTAGAGTCATAGAGACAGGGGCAGTAGTCATGGCAGGACTTAGAGGAAACAAATCAATTGGCATCAAAATAGTGTTTGAGATTGTGTCAGCAAAAAGTGCCCTGGCGCAGTGGCCTCTTACTGTTCCCCAAGGCCACCTCCAGGATGGTTGCCTCCACCCTCAGAATGTCCCCGGGCTATAACCCTTCCCAACACCCCTCTCAGGCTGGGCCATAGAGAACAGAAGGGAACAGAAACAAATCTTCCACCCAGGCAGAACCCAGCCAGGCAAGGTGTCCACTGATCTGTCCCTAACTTCCTCCATACCCAAAGGGACATACTGTGTTACTCAGATCACTGATTACTGGATGTACATTCCCTTTTGTGAAAAAAAGTTTTTACTCTGATTATTCTATTTTCCCTCATTGATTAGGTTAGGTATCTGGTTAACTGTTAAGTCTTTGGAACCCAGAGGCTGCAAGATCAGGAAACTCCACATTTGTACCTTCCAGGATGCACAGACAGCGCCTCTAGGTCCTTGGCTTGCTGCAGAATCAACTGCTTGGGCCCAGTCCTGAGCCATCTCCCAAAGGGAGAGGAGGAGTGCTTTTATGATTGAAAGAAGGATTGTTGCATTATGTTAAGAGTGGTCATCTTTGGAATTACCAGTTAGGGAAATTACCAGTTACACACACATGCATGCACACTCAGGAGCCAAGGCATGGACTGTAGTTGGATATTTCATGTTTCCTGTTTGCTCTGTTGTATTAATTCTCAGTTGCTGTAGTGACAAATTACTAATTACTTGGTGGGTTGGAACAACACAAATTCTCTTACAGTTCTGCAAGGGGTCAGCAGTTTCGCATAGGTCTTACCAGGATAAACTCAAGGTGTCAGCAGGACTGCATTTCTTTCTGGGGAAAGAACAACTCCAGGGGACAAGCTATTTCCTGTTCATTTTGGGTTTTGGCAGGATTCAGCTCCTTGTAGGACTGAGGTCCCCATTTTTATGCTGGTTATAAGCTGAGGACCATTCCTAGCTTCTAGAGGCTACTCACATGCCTTGGTTTATGGCCTCTTCCGCCATATTCAGTGCCAGCAGTGGTGAGTCCAGTCCTTCTCACAGACTCTTTTGCCTTCCTTCTCCATGGATTTATCTCATTAGATTGGGGCCACTTGAATAATCCCAGATAATTTCTCTGTTTAAAGGTCAATTTATTAGGTAACTTTAATTCTATCTGTAACCTTAATTCTCTTTTGCATGTAGAGCAATATATGCTCAGATTGTGGGGATTGGCATGTGGCCATCTTTGGGGTGCCATCATTCCACCTGCCACAGTTACTTGCCCAGGAGAGGGAGGACTTATGGGGTGGTAGAATCTCCATATGATAAGTTTTACCTGATTCTGCTAAATAATTTTCCAAAGTGGTTGTGCTCACTGAACACTATTCTGTTTCATTGATCTCTTTGTTTATTCTTTTTTAAAAATTTCTTTTTAATGTTTATTTTGAGAGAGAGAGAGAGAGAGAGAGAGAGAGAGAGAATATGAACAGGGGAGGGGCAGAGAGAGAGAGCCAGAGACACAGAATCACAGGCTCCAGGCTCTGAGCTGTCAGCACAGAGCCTGATGTGGGGCTCAGACTCATGCACTGTGAGATCATGACCTGAGCTGAAGTCAGACCGTCAACTGACTGAGCCACTCTTGTGTCCCTGTGTATTCTTATGCCCATATCATCTGTCTGTGTTATTGTAGGTTTTATTAGTCTTAATATCTGGTAGTGTAAATCTTCTTTTTTACTCTTTTTTTTAGATTGTATTTGCTATTTTAGTCTTGCATTTCCATATACATTTCAGAAATAACTTGTTGACTTCCACAATACCTGCTGGAATTTTGAATGGGATTGCTTAGATTCTATAGATAAGTTGGGGGCAGAATTAACATTTTGTAATAGAGTCTTCCAATCCATGGACAAGTAATAGTTTTTTTTGGTCTGGGTCTTCTTTAAGTCTCTCAATAATGTTGTATGTTTTTTTTTTCTTGCACATATTTCATTAGGCTTTTTCCTAAGTGTTTGATTTTGCATTTTAAAATGTTTATTTATTTTTGAGAGAGAGAGAGAGCCAGCAGGGAAGGGGCAGAGAGAGAGGGAGACAGAAGATCAGAAGCAGGCTCCACGCTAAAAGTAGCGAGCCAGATGTGGGGCTCGATCTCATGAACTGTGAGATCATGACCTGAGCTGAAGTTGGATGCTTAACTGACAGCCACACAGGTGCTGCACTTTGATAATTAATCATAATAGTTACTTACAGACTTCTTTGGATTTTTTTAGTGTTCATATCATGTAATCAATAACTAATGACAATTTTATCTATTTCCTTTCTTTTTCTTGCCTTATTGCCTGGG